TTTTTGAGACAGATTCTTGCTTTGTTGCCCAGGCTAGAGTGCCGTGGCATCAGCCTAGCTCACAGCAACCTCAAACTCCTGGGCTCAAGCAATCCTCCTGCCTCAGCCTCCAGAGTAGCTGGGACTACAGGCATGCGCCACCATGCCCGGCTAATTTTTTCTATATATATTAGTTGGCCAATTAATTTCTTTCTATTTTTAGTAGAGACGGGGCTTCGCTCTTGCTCAGGCTGGTTACAAACTCCTGACATACAGCAATCTGCCCGTCTCGGCCTCCCGGAGTGCTAGGATTAGAGGCGTGAGCCACCACGCCTGGCCAAGCAAGGTCATTTGATATTGAAGATTATGTTCTACAAGCTGTAACGATAAGTATTAAAACCTCGGGGTCTTGGGAAAACCAATTTGTTTTGCAAATACATTTGTTATGACTACAGAAAACAGATGAGGATGGTCAGTTTAAGTTTTTATATTAGTCTTGAAAAGTTACATTAATACTCTTATCAACTTCCAATTTGATACCTCATCAATGCAGATTCTTTGGTCTCAATTTATAACTCCAAGTGGCATTGGCATCTCTTCTTGCTCTGGCAGAAAGCATTTTCTATGTTTGCAGTTCTCTAAAGGTTTTTTTCTAAAAGTTGCTAGTAAAAAGCACTTGCATTTATAAAGTCACACACAAAACAACCCATTTGTTCAATACCGGATGGCAATGTTAAGAGCCAAAATTAAACTAAATACTAATCAAAGTGGGTAGTGAATAGTGGTAGATCACATAGGGAGAGTTGTGTATCATAATAAACACATTAAATATCAAATTAACACGAAATACTGTTACCAATAAAGATAACATCGCCGGGCGTGGTGGCTCACACCTGTAATCCTAGCACTCTGGGAGGCCGAGGTGGGTGGATTGCTCGAGGTCCCGAGTTTGAGACCAGCCTGAGCAAGAGCAAGACCCCTGTCTCTACTAAAAATAGAAAGAAATTAGCTGGACAACCAAAAATATATATAGAAAAAATTAGCCAGGCATGATGGTGCATGCCTGTAGTCCCAGCTACTTGGGAGGCTGAGACAGGAGGATTGCTTAAGCCCAGGAGTTTGAGGTTGCTGTGAGCTAGGCTGACGCCACGACACTCTAGCCTGGGCAACAGAGTGAGACTCTGTCTCAAAAAAAAAAAAGATAACATACATAAACATAATATGTCACTTCAACAAAGACACTGGGGACAAAGTGGGTGGGTATCACCAAATCAAGGACTAGTTAATACCAATCAATACACAAAAACACCTGAAACACTCCGAAATAGTACAGTTCATATATGAAAGAAAGCTGGTCAAGAATTCCCCAGATTTGACAATATCCTAAAAATTTACTTGATATCATCAAGAACAATTTGTTAAATTGAAAGTAACTTTCTAAACTTTCAAAAATTAAACAAAAAACAACCCTCAAATCTTAATCAACCATGCCAAGAAACTGGCATTTATTTTCTCCACAGAAAAATTATTGCAAAATTGTTGTCATATAAAGTAACTGTCAAAGAGTATAGCTACAAACTGTAAGAAAAGTGTAATAAAAATGTTTCAGATAATTAATACAAATATTATTTTTCTGGACATTGTAATGTTTGTGGAATTTTTCAGCTTTTAAAATGTGCATCGTTCATTGTGATTTCTGTTTTTCCTTGCAAGTAAATATTAAATTGTATGCATTATTATGTATTAGTACTTTTATATTACTTTTTCCTAAACAGTGCTTACAAAATTAAATAAGCTTCTGGATCCCAAAACTTTGCCATTGTGATTTCTTCAACCTGCCTCCAATCTGCAATGAGATGTGTAAGAATTTGGTAATAGACCTGATACTTTCAAAATCCAAAGAACGGGAGCTCAGATTTTGGAGCAATGTTACCCAGAAATTGAAGGACAAGAGGACTCTAGCTGATGCATAATTTATATTTGTACACTTGGAACAGCCACACGCAGCAGGGCTCTCCTGGAGACCAGCGGCGCTCATTAGCATGCTAATGCATTTGAGGATGTCTATGCCAAAGACGTAGAGTTAGTGTGTTTATCCCAACATTTCTCAGAGATATAATTTAGCCACAGAAGCCTTAGCCTTGGTATATCTGAGAAGCATGTTTGGGAAATATTGAAATAGAATGATTGATTATTGGTAACAAACATTAAAAGTAAAGAACAGATTATTTTAGTAGCCCAAAGGCCTAAGATATCCAAATATCCCACTCAGGAACGTGTCCATTAATTTATGTTTCATTGCATGTGCAGTCAGGGCGATATTTGGTGCTATGTCCTCCAGGGTAAGAGGGTCCAACGCCTGCCAGGGCTTTTCCCACAGGTGGTCACTAGTCCCACGACTGTCAAAAGAGATACTTGTGGGCAGTTGGGGGGATTAAAAGTCAGCTTTCACTGTTGTTTTTCAGACCCAAGAACATCGCAAGTGGACCCTAGTATCTTTCGTGAGCTATTGTGGAAGTTTATAATTCATTGATAGAAATTAATTTTAGACACAAAAACAATGGAAAATTTAGCCTCAACTTTGGGAGAATTATACCTTTCTTGATGCCTGCTTAGCTTATTTCATGTGTTTGATCAACTCATTCTTACTTTTCGAGGAAAGATAGTGGACCTATTTCAACTTGGGATGTTTTGATTGTTCATATGATATCTCAGAGACTGCTTCATCTTCTCAGGCAAGCAGAGCTCCAACTTTGGCCACATTATTTCTAGTAATCACCTGATATGCACTTATATTCAAAAGCACATGAAAGAAACGGCTTTTAAAGTTTACGACATATGTTTTGAAAAACGAAACATGATGAGAACCAAGATTATTTTATGGACAGTTTTTTGGATTTTCAAATTGCAAATGTTATTAAAAACTACTTTAGGAATTTTCCTTTCATTTTCTTTTCTTTGCTGTCTGTGTTTTTTGAGACTATTGGCTCATGTATTTGGCATGAATATAAACAACATAAGGACAACCAAGAGGAAATTAATCCATCACAGTTCTAATTTCAATTTGCCTATTTTTATCATTCACATTTTTTACCATCTGGAAATTTTTCCATCACTAGCTAAAAATATTATACTAATTTTCAGATACTTTGGAGTTTTAAAGACACAGTGAAATTTTATTATGTTATATGACATTATTTAGTTTTCTTAAAGAAATCTGTTAACTTTATGGATGTCTTAACATAAATACATAAGACACACTATACACAAAATACTACATGCACAAAACATACTACACATACACATACAACATGCGTGTAAAGATTAGCATTTTTATTTATGTGAAATCAAAAAATCAGGAAAGTAAATTATCTATAAATATCAAGATATTGGCTTGAATTATATTTATTTTGCATACATGTACTTATAAAATTAAAATAAATCAATTTCACATAATGTTTTTATTATTATAAGACAAATGAAGGAAATTATAGTTGTGAATATGCATGTAGTTTTAAAAAACTTGATCTAAGGTGATCAAACAACTAGATATTTACAAAATGATTTAAAAATGTAATAATATAATAAATTTTAACTAACAGGGTATTTGAGCTTAACATCTTCTATTTGAAATAAATGTAACTATTATACATATAAGAATTTTAATTTTCTCTATGGTTTTGTGAAAAATATATATCATTTTAAGTATATATGTGTGTTTGGTATATATGCATATGTCTATAGAATATATTTTATATATAATTTATTCAGATATTAAGTTGGCATCAATTCTAGTTGTATTAAAGTGTAAAGTCTTGGATTTTTTTAACCACATTTTCTCTAACATAACTTGGCTAAATTAAATATTTCTTAAACAATGAGTTGCTTTTATACATTAGGTAAATTATGTAAGATTTTGCTAGCACATCTGTAGAGGTGAGTATAAAGGCTGCATGCTTTATATTAACAAAAGGAGATGTTATTTTACAGAGTAGTTTTCCTCACTGTCTTCCTTTCTTTTCCTCAATTTTTCTTAAATATATTATATTTTCTTTATTGATACCTTCCTAAATATTTTTGATGCCTGTGGATCAAACCACTTTTGCAGGTGCATGATGTTATTACCGATTCCACAGATATTTTCCTCATTAATTTCCATTACTATTTTCATCATTTTTATTTCTTTTGTATGTTGATTTTTTTCTAAATGTATATTATAACCTTTTAGAAAAAAATTATGTGTTTTTAAATTTTTATAGTGTTGTTCAGGACTTCTAAGCATTGAATAATAATAATATAATTTCAATTAAAGTTTAAAAAGTTGCAAACTTGAATAAGCAACAAAAGTAGTTAAGATATGTTATTTTTAATTAAAATTCAATGAATGTTTATTTTTAAACCAAAAAGCTGCATCATAATTATATACAAACTTGTGGATAATAAAGGTTAATTGCATAATGATTTTAAATTAGCCTTGAAAAGCAAGATATGTTTTCATATTTGCAGAGTATAACCCTTATGGAGTGTGTACGTGTGCGAATTGATGGAATTTACTGGTGTTTATAGGCAGGTATGCACATTTGTATATATATGGTATTTTATGTGGCTATAAATCTATTGAATTACTTTCACTTTTATTCCCTTCATTGAAGAATGAAATCAGCTTTTTAAAAGCATACTATTTTTATAAATATTTTATTTTATACTCTTTATCAGTAATCAATATATACTACCAAAGTTTAAGATATCTCATTAAAATAAATCTGTAAGTCCCTAAATCTTTCACATTAGCTTTCTAAACATAGATTTATTCTGAAGGACTTTTCTACACTAGAATTCTGTAAACAGGAACAGGCTTACCATACAGTATTTACAAGAATTTTTAACACCTTTGTAGCAACCTGGGTGGAACTGGAGACCATTCTCCTAAGTGAAATATCACAAGAACAGAAAAACAAACACCACATGTACTCACTGTTAAATTGGAACCAACTGATCAGCACTCATGAGCACATAGGGAAGTAAAACTCAACGGAAATCAAGCAGGTGAGAGTGGGGAGGAGGAGATGGGTGAAATCACACCTAAACAGGTGCATTGTACACTATCTGAGTGATGGGCACACTTATACTTTGACTCAAACTGTACGAAAGCAATCCATGTAACTAAAACATTTGTACTCCTGTAATATTCTGAAACTAAAAAAAGAATTTTTTACAAGTACTACAATATATTATTGTCTGTGTCCCTAAAACTCACGATAGGAATGAAATGCCTGAGGCAAAACATGTCTTCCTCATCATCAGAAAGTGAAACATCAAAGGAAGACAGCATTTGCATATAAATATATGAAAATGTTCATAAATAAAATCTTTATGTGTTGAGCATTCTTAAAAAGTTCTTTCAGAAGCAGTTTTCTAAAATCATGATATAGGAACTATAGGCATAAAATAGTTGACAGGGATGTCTTCTGATTTTTACATCTTTACAATCCATAAAGTTTATTTGGTAAATAATAACAGATAAAGAAGAAACTTCTGGATATAGGACATTTCATACTGTGCATTTTAGTTGCAATCAAAGGTAGCAATATTTTGTTAAATGTTAAAGTAAGATGCATTGGTTTGGTGAACTTATGAAAATAGTGTGATTTCTATAAGATATGTATTAAAGAAAAAATAAAAAAATTATAGATGAGATAATATATCCCATGAATGTTATGAGACAATAGCAAATCAAAAAGCTCTGAGTGATGAAATATCTAGCACACCTGTTTTCTTAATCATTTTAATTAAAGAGTGTTTAGTTCTGACAATATCAAGTCTGTGAAAATCTGTTATTTCAGAGACAAAATTATACTATTTAATTGTTGAAAAAATATCTGGTTTTTTTTAAACAATTCAGTAATAAGCAGTAGGAGAAAATAATTTTCCAGAATAAGTAATGTTCTTAGGATTCAGGAAATGACCTGCCAGTGATGAGGAGAATACTACTTGGGAATCACCTCTCCCAAAGTGTGGGGAAGGTTGTTAGAAAGAATTAATTCAAATCTGAAAAGTGAAGTAGATAAACAAGGGGATAAGCACACATAAATTATATTTATGTTTCAAATTCTCCTTTGTAAGCTTAAAAATTATTGAAAAATATACAATCTTTGAGGATTTCCCTTAGCTGATATTTTTCAGGGTTCGATTAGTGGGTCTGTGGTGCAGCTGCAGCCCATTTTCAGAATGTACACACACCACAAGCTGACCTATTCATGAATCAAAGTCAGATTTTTCCACCTTTGTCAAGTGGTCTTAAAATCATGAAACCTTAAATGTGACCTGAGGCGGCAATGCTGGTACAACGGTGATGAGTGAAATAATTTAGCTTACTCGGACCTTGTTGTCTTTATCAGGCTCAATCATGGATGCATCTTTTCCAATGTATGATGAATTGCTTCTAGACATGCCCACCTTCCTGACTTGGTAGATCTGTCAGATCCCAGCTTATAACGGACAGTTCATAAAAGTATCACATGGTGCCCCATAGTCAAGTGTGCCATAGAGTCCCAGTAATATTCTAGGAGCTGTTTCTTATAAGGCAAGTAATTCTGGCCTGCAGATGGCATAGTTTTGCTTCAAAAATCAAGGGCTTAAATTATGACTCTCCAGCAGGGGGTTGGCATAATTTCCATATTCATCTTTTTTTCACCATGGACACCTCCAGTACCAGAGTGTGTGCTGGCATCATGAGCCAAGTGGCTGGGCTACTCTTAATATAAAGCCCCAGCTGCTGCAGAGCCCTTTCCTCACTCGGGGCCACACTCAAAGCTGGTAGAAATACAATTTAGTTCTGAAGCAATAAACTGATGTAGATTCGCTCTTATGAAATGATGGAGTTGAGTTTTTAAAGGAAGCACAGGAATATAGTGTCCTTAAGTTTTTAAAATTGTACTTAACCAATATTTTCTTGATGGAATTAGAGATTCTGATGTCTGAAACTTAAATCTAATAATGGGAAGTAATTCCCATTATGGAATTTTAATTTTATCGTTTAATTTAAAATATGAATAGAAAACAAGTTAGTAGAACAGAATAAGCCAACAAATAAATGGATTTTAAGTATACCTGCAAGCAAGGGAAATAATCTGCCTTCGATATATGTTTGCCATCCTAAGATAGTCATGCAAAATCTTTTATAATTTAAAGTTACCAATAAACCGTCTCAAATAGTCTCAAATGACAAATATCCACTAAAAACTCAGTAATTTGGTTTACTTGTTGCTTTCAATTGTATTAACTGATATTAAATTTACTTAAACATTCTTCAGATTCATAATTTCAAAATATTGTTGGTCTTATTAGTAATAATCAGTTCCCTGCTATGTCTGGGTACATTGCAATACTTTGGTGGCAGGAAGATGGTTCAAGACATGTAGGTGAATTATTTGAAGTGTCCTGTACATTTCAAATTATTATTTCTGTAATTTTTAGAGTCATGTCACATGGTTCACCTTTTTTTGCTTTGAGGAAAAGAGAGAAGGAGGCATAACTGTTATTTTCAACATTTTTGAAATTCGAGGCATTTAACCGATCTCTGTAATGAGCTGACTATTGAAGCCCGTTGTTCAGAAGCAGGACTTTAGGTGTGACTGTGCTCATCAGCTCCCTGCCTTCCAGAGACATGTAACATCTTAACCCATGGTTTTTCTGTCTTTGAAAAAAAATCACTATCTTGACGTCTGAAGAGTCTGTGAGGATTTAGTTTTCATGGACTTTTTCCAGGTGTTGCTTTTACTCTTCACACTGTGTTTAAGTGTTGCAAAATTTCCTTGAAAACCTGAAAAATATGTGAAAATGTGCTTAGAACAGTAATCAATACATAAGATGCTGTGTAAGTGCTTCAAAAAGTTAACTATTAGTAGGGCCTCTCCCCCAAATATACCATATATAAAGAAAACTAAGGCTATAAAATGTCAAATGATAAACTTGAAGGTCTGCAATAGAATATTGGTTATAATTGAAATAATTATGGGGAAACCGGCTAGAATCTTGTACCGCTGTGCCATATATTTTAATATTTCTACTTCAATATGCATTTCTCAAAAGTTCAATGTGACTAACTTAGCTCATTTTTGTTTCTGTACTGTTTTGTTTCCTTTGATTATCCCAAATATCTAGTTTTTACTTAAATGCTAATGTTCCATTTTAAAGATGAGGAAATTGGGGCACAGAGAGATAAAGTTATTTGCTCAAAGTCATACGGCTGGTCTCACATATGACTGCATAGTAAATGCTATTTCTTCATGAATAAATTTCCAATATTGTCTACAAGTCAGAGCTAGAAGAAAGAAAGAATTGCGATAATGGAACCAACTACAGTTCATAGGCAACAACGTTTTCAAAGGTCTGTGAAGAAAACTTCCCAGTGTTTCCCAGCCCTGACACTCCCGTACTTGTATTTGCAACGTAAAATCTTCCTATTGCGTTTGAGCCCGCTGTACCCAGCCTTGTTAGGGGTGGCGATGAGAATACTTGTCTACCCTTTACTCTGCATGGACATTTTTGATATTTAAAATTTATTAAATTATATATTTGAATGTCTAATGTGCACATCAATTAAACTCAAATACTTTCCCACAAATTTTATTTCCTAACTCCTATAATCTATTTTAACAAGCTATTACTGTTTAATATTTATGTTGAAATGTAATTTGTGGGCCATACATAACATTTCTTTTTTAATCAATTGCTCACAATAGGAGAAATGTATAAAACAAGTTTGTTATCTATTTTGATGTCAGATGCTTTCCATATTATGAATGTTTTAATATATAAGAGGAGGAAAATATTGGGACAATTTTATACACTGAAAAATGCATGAGTAATTAGGTAGCTACAATACTATAATTTTCAATAAGTAGAGCGACACTACATGGTACACAGAAGCATCTGTTTTACTCTTTTCCAATGTCAGGGAAGGTCATTCACAGTTGTAACTGTCAAGGTCTCAGTGGTAGCCATGATGTCTTGCCAAATGCTCCAGAAAAAAACATCATATTTATTTAGATGACCAACCTGAGGGCCTTAGTGTTACCCTATCTGTGCAGATAAAGTTTATAGCAAATAAAAATTTACTAAATACTGCACAAAATTAACATTTTTATATATTTAATCAGAATTATTTATTTTAGGAACAGGCAATTTTTCTGGCATATATATGACAATTACATTATAGCTCGTGTAATAAATAGTCCATTTTAAAGTAAGGCAGAACCAAAGTAACAAAAATAAAGCTTTATCTTTAAAAAGACTATTGATTTTCTAAGAAACCATAATGAAGCAAAAAGAGATCTTTGGCTGCCAGCTTTTCAGCATTGCTGCTAACGTGTTCTAACTGCTCTAAAGAAAAGAAGTGATTAGCACTTGATGGATGAACCCCTCAATTTATTTCTTAAAAGACAGAAGTTTCCTATCTTATAGCTAGAGCCACATGAATTACTCAAATCCAGATGATCTACTAATTCTTTATTGAAATGGCAAAGAAAGTAATTGCATTATTAAGATTGTCAACTTCTTCCTCTTTTTTAAAAAAGTAACTCCTTTGGCAATCCAGACCTACTGACACTAGGAACAAAGAGAAAGAACTGTATAAACAATGTCCCTTAAAGCTGTCTACATGCAGCATCACTGTGTGATTATTTTACTGTGACTCATGAAGAATGGATTTTTTTTAAAAGAGACTATTTGGGTATGTCACCCAAACTGGAGTGCAGTGGCATGATCACAGCTCACTGCAGCCTCAAGCTCCTAGGGTCAAAGGATCCTCTTGTCTCGGCCTCCCCAGTAGCTGGGACTACAGGCTTGCATTACTATGCCTGACTAAGGGAATGGCTTTTTGAGACATATCAGGTAGTGTATAAACAAATGTACCTCTAATACACATAGACTTGAGATAAAGATAAATACCTCAATTGTTTACAAGGCTTCTCTCATTTTCAACATTCCTTACTTGTACAAAAAAAAATTATATTTGGTTAGCTAATTTCATATGTAATTAGCTAGTATAAAAGGATGAGGTTTATTATTATGGCCTGTTTAAACATACATGGCTATATGGAATTTTAGTCAATATAAGTAAGATTACATGGAAAGAATGATTAACATAAAGCAAGAATAATATTGCACAAAAGAATGATTTACTTCATAAAATCTTTCATTCTTTGCACTTTTATTTCAGGTATTAAAAAGGAAGTGGCATAATAGGGTAAAGCTTACAAACTATTCCTTTTGTTTGAATATATTTGTTGGCCTTTCATGCTTGATATAAATTTGTTTTTGGAAGGTAAGCCTATCATAGCATATGCTAACCACGTCAAGAAGCACGTTTTCTCTTGGGAAAAACGAAGGTAACGGCACCCTTGTTTTACTTCTTTGGTATAAATTCAGATTGTATGTGGGGATTTGTCCTTCATTCCTACATTCCATTGATTTGGTGCATACAGTTAGTACTTAAAGTGTGATTGTTTGGGATTAAACTGTGGAGTATTTCTAAACTTGGAGTATAGGTACTGTAAATTCACTTTGAAAAGCAAAATCTTTTTTACAGAGAAAAAAATGTAAAGGCAATGCTGTTTTTTATGGAATGAAAGGAAGTAGAAATAAACAGTTTCACACTTAAAACCTGCTTTGTAGGAATTTGGGGATTTAAAAAGCTTTCTTAATGAAAAAATAAAATTTTCTTCTATGTAATCTTCACATTGAAGATCAAAAACTGGATACAATACTGCCTTTATCTCCTTTTTCCACATCATACTAAGTTAGGGGACTAAGATTTCCTTCTATCAATATCTGTCTTTATGGGGTAATAATCTTTATTCATATATTCTTCCTTGTTTGCTCAGAAATTATTCTGTATATGGTCATATACCCAGAACATTAATTATCAAAATATATATGCTAAGACCTAGTGTATGCACAAATACAACTCCAAGAAGGCCAAAAACACTTCCACGAATTCAAAATCCATGCACAGATACTTATGCAGTCTACCACATACTTTTATATTAGATAACTCACATATATATTTGAGATTCTGGTGAGTGGGATATCACAGTGGGCCATCATGGTCCCCATGGTCTCAAGCCTCCTCTGATATTTATATTTCAGTCTAAGGAGATTTTACTCTTTATCTATATTCAGTCTAACTTGTATTTTATCTCATATGGTTAAAAATATTGCTTGGTTTGCTTCATTCATTCACAGAGAAGTCTACTCTTTTAAGTATAATATTAAATTTATTCATAAAGCTAAAAAATAAAAACAAAAAATAAACTATTCTGTATTATAAATTTTAAAATAGCTCTGTTTTCTTAGGGCAGATTTTGTTAACTGACTTTTTTCAGGTTTATATATTTATTTTTAATTATTATGGGTACACAATAGTGTATATCTTTATAGGGTACATGCGATGTTTTGATACAGGCATACCACGTGAATAATCAAATCAGGGTAATTGGGGTATCCATCACCTCAGGCATTTAACATTTCTTCATGTTAGGAACATTCCAATTTCATTCTTTTAGTTGTTTTAAGATACACTTTAACTTATTGTTGATTATAGTCACTTTGTTGTACTATCAAATATTGTCCTTTCTAACTAGCTAACTGAATTTTTGCATCCATTAACCATAACTACTTTATTCTCCCCTCCCCACTGTGTTTCTCAGCCTCTCGTAACTGTCATTCTATTCTTTGTCTCCATGAGATCAATTGTTTTTAATATTTAGCTCTCACATATGAAGGAGAACATGAGAGATTTGTCTTAATGTGCTTGGTTTAGTTCACTCAACATAATCTCCAGTTCCATCCATGTTGTTGCAAATAGCAGGATTTCATTCTTTTTTGTGGCTATATAATATTCCATTGTGTATATGTACCACAATTTCTTTATGCATCATCCATTGATGTACACTTAGGTTTATTCCATATCTTGGCTATTGTGATAGTGCTCCAATAAACTTGGGAGTGAAGATATCTTTTCGATATATTGAATTCCCCTACTTTGGATATATACCCAGCAGTGAGATTGCTGGGTCATATGGTAGCTCTATTTTTAGTTTTTTGAGGAACTTCTACACTGTTCTCCATAGTGATTGTATTAATTTACATTCCCACCTACAGTGTACCAGGGTTCTCTTTTTTCCACATCCTTATTAGCATTTGTTATTGCCTGTACTTCTCATAAAAGCTATTTTAACTGGAGTGTGATGATATCTTATTGTATTTTGATTTGCATTTTTCTGATAACTAATGATGTTGACCATTTTTTTTCATATGCCTGTTGGCCATTTGTATCATATGTCTTCTTTTGAGAAATGTCCATTCAGATTCTTTGACCATTTTTAATTGGATTATTTGATTATTTTCTTATTGAGTTGTTGGAGCTCCTTATATATTCTAGTTATTATTGTTATTAATCCTTTGTCAGATGGGTAGTTTGCAAATATTTTTCCCATTTAATGAGTTGTCTCTTCACTTTGCTAATTGTTTCTTTTGCTGTGCAGAAGTTTTTTAGCTTGATTTGATCCCATTTGTCCAATTTCACTTTGGTTGACTGTGCTTTGGGGGTATTACTCAATAAGTCTTTGCCCAGACCAACGTTCTGAAGCATTTCCCCAATGTTTTATTTTAGTAGTTTCAGAGTTTCAGGTCTTATATTTATGTCTCTAATTCATTTTTATTTTATTTTTATATATGGTGAGAGATAAAGGTCTAGTTTCATTCTTCTGCATATGGATATCCAGTTTTCCCAGCACCATTTATTGAAGAGAGTGTCCTTTCCCCACTATATTTGGCACCTTTGTTGAAGATCAATTCACTATAGGTGTATGGACTGTGAATTGATATTTTTATTGGAACTATGATTTGAACTTGTTTTTACTCTCTCTATGAAAAATATGTAATTAATTATAATCTAATAAAATAAACATTGATAAACAGACTCAGTAGTGTATTTATCCATTGAAAAATTCAGTGGATAATAGAGATCTCCTGGTACCCTAAAGTACACCAAAACCAGATACTCAAGAGGAAAGAGCAATGGTTTGGTAGTTTAAACACTTACACTTAGCTTAATTAGGTGATTAGCTTCTAAGATAACAAATGCCATGATAAGCTTCAATAGTGGCAAGTGTCTATCACTCAAAGAATATCATTCACTTTTCTTTGAAACATCAGAACCTTTTGTAATTGTTCTATTCATGTAACTTAGTTCTATTCCTCTAATGATTGAATCAAACTTGCTTTAAAATAGTGCTAATTGAAAGTTTAAAAAATGTATTTAAGTTCTACTGAGAGAAAGTAAAACCTGCTTCTATATCTAATTTCTTTAAATTACATTTGACA